AAGAATTAGCACTCTCCGAAAAATCCGAATCCCTAGTAAGTGAATCGAATCATGGCGTTGAGCATAAGGAAAGCAATCGGTGTGGTTAAGGATCAGACTAGTATAAGCATAGCGAAAGTAGCAAGCAACATGGCTCCAGATCTGGAGGTCGCGATCGTGAAAGCTACGAGCCACGACGATGACCAATCGACCGAGAAGTATATCCGCGAGATCCTTAGCTTGACTTCACTATCCCGTGGCTACGTCCACGCCTGCGTCACCTCCGTCTCACGCCGGCTCACGAAAACACGCGATTGGATCGTCGCTCTCAAAGCCCTGATGCTCGTTCACCGTCTACTCAACGATGGTGACCCATTGTTCCAGGAAGAGATCCTTTATGCGACTAGACGAGGTACGAGGATTCTTAACATGTCTGATTTTCGTGATGAGGCTCATTCTAGCTCTTGGGATCACTCTGCTTTCGTTAGAACATATGCTAGTTACTTGGATCAGAGGCTTGAATTGGCTCTTTACGAGAGAAAAGGGAGAAATGGTGGTGGTGGTAGTAGTCATCAAAGTAATGGGGACGATGGATATAGTCATCGGTCTAGGGATGATTTTCGATCTCCGCCTCCGAGAACTTATGATTATGAGAGTGGTAATGGCTTTGGTATGCCTAAGAGGTCTCGGTCTTTTGGAGATATGAGTGAGATTGGAGGAGGGAGAGAGGAGAAGAAATCGGTTACGCCTTTAAGAGAAATGACACCTGAAAGGATTTTCGGAAAGATGGGTCATTTGCAGAGGCTGCTTGATCGGTTTTTATCCTCTCGACCTACCGGTTTAGCCAAGAGCAGCCGGATGATTTTGATCGCAATGTACCCAATTGTGAAAGAGAGTTTTAGGCTTTACGCTGACATCTGTGAGGTCTTGGCTGTTCTGCTCGACAAGTTTTTCGATATGGAGTATACGGATTGCGTTAAAGCCTTTGATGCTTATGCTAGTGCGGCCAAACAGATTGATGAGCTCATTGCGTTTTACCATTGGTGTAAAGACACGGGTGTGGCGAGATCGTCTGAGTATCCTGAGGTTCAGAGGATCACTAGCAAGCTGTTGGAGACTCTAGAAGAGTTTGTGAGAGATAGAGCTAAGAGGGCCAAAAGTCCCGAACGGAAAGAGATAGAAGCTCCTCCTCCTCCTGCGGTAGAGGAGCCAGCGGTTGATATGAATGAGATCAAAGCGCTTCCTCCTCCAGAGAATTATACTCCTCCACCTCCACCACCACCTAAACCAGAGCCAAAACCGCAGCAACCACAGGTAACAGATGATCTAGTTAACCTGAGGGAAGATGACGTCACTGGTGATGACCAAGGGAACAAGTTTGCTCTCGCGCTTTTTGCGGGTCCTGCCAGTAGTAACGGAAAATGGGAAGCTTTCCCTTCTGATAACGGCGTGACATCGGCTTGGCAGAATCCAGCAGCAGAACTCGGGAAAGCGGATTGGGAACTTGCATTGGTCGAGACAGCTAGTAATCTGGAGAATCAGAAAGCCGCAATGGGCGGTGGTTTAGACCCGTTGTTACTCAACGGGATGTACGATCAAGGTGCAGTTAGACAACACGTGAGCACCTCGGAGTTAACCGGTGGAAGTTCAAGCAGTGTAGCGCTCCCTTTACCAGGTAAAACCAACAGCCATATATTAGCACTCCCTGCACCAGATGGAACCATTCAGAACGTGAACCAAGACCCGTTCGCGGCTTCCCTAACTGTTCCGCCTCCTTCGTATGTGCAAATGGCTGAGATGGACAAAAAGCAATATTTATTGACTCAAGAGCAGCAGTTATGGCAGCAATATCAGCAAGAAGGAATGAGAGGTCAAGCTAGTTTGGCTAAGATGAGTCCAGCCCCAACCGCAATGCAGTATGGGATGCCGCCGGTTAACGGTATGGGACCGCCACCGATGGGGTATTACTACAACAACCCTTACTGATTTCATTCATTTTGTTATTTTTCTTAC